CTCTCTTTAATACTGTATCTTTATTTTATTAGATAAGTGTGATGTTTATAATTTATTGTAATGAGATTTTTGTACTAATTAGAAAGAAAAAAAATTCAACCTTTTTTTACCTTAATAGATAGATCTTGTAAAATAGTATGTATGTATAAAATATTCATTGCTATGCAAATTTATATGTAACTAAGAGTGAAAAGTTACATCATTTAATTATTTAAAAAATAATTAAGAACAATTAATACAAAACAGCTTGGTTTGTACATAAAAGGGGGAAAGAAAATTTAGATACGCAAGGTGATTTAGAAATTCAAGAATTTAAATTGAGCCAAAACCTAAACCCGAACATCAAATTATAGTACATGAAGAACAACAACATAAAAAGATAGAACTTAATTCCACTTTTACGGTCAGTTCCCGAGTACTCACTGCTAGAATAAGATCATCACAACACAAAGATCTGTTGAAGCCAGAAAAAAATAAAATAAAATATTAACAGAAGCACATAAAGTTTAAAGCTTGATCAATATACATACACATCATAAAAGCAAACCATTGTTAATTACCTATCGATCTAATTAGTGTCCAACACAACGACTCCAAGCATCTCAAAAGTTTCAAGAACCTGTTTTTGTGTTCGATAATACTCCCCTTCAGGATCATAGTAATACTGAAATCTGGAACATTCTTAAAGCCTTTACTCAACAATGCAGCTTGCACAGCTGCGCCATAAGCAACAGCCTCATCAGGGTTAATACTCTTGCACAAATCTTTACCATTGAAGAAAGCCTGCAATAACTGCTGCACTTTGGGAATTCTAGAAGAGCCACCAACAAGGACAACATCATGCACACTGCTTTTGTCCATCTTAGCATCAGTAAGACACTTCTCTACTGTCTCAATGCACTCTTCAAACAGCTCCATATTAATTTCCTCAAACCTTGCACGATTGATTGAAGAGTTGAAGTCTATGCCTTGAAATATAGCATCAACATCAACTTTGGTGGTAACAACACAAGAGAGTGTCCTTTTTGCCCTCTCACATGCAGTTCTCAACCTCCTTAGAGCCCTAGGATTGCCACTAATGTCCACTTTGTTTTTCCTTTTGATCTCTTCTACAAAATAGTTCACCATTCTGTTGTCGATGTCCTCTCCTCCAAGATGAGTGTTTCCAGCAGTGGCCTTAACCTGGAAGACCTTATCCTTGATTGTGAGGAGTGACACATCAAAAGTACCACCACCTAAGTCAAAGATGAAAATGTTTCGCTCTCCAACACAATTAGTTCTCTTGTCAAGGCCATATGCAATAGCAGCAGCAGTGGGTTCACTGATTATCCGTATAACATTGAGGCCAGCAATGGCACCAGCATCCATGGTGGCTTTACGCTGAGAGTCATTGAAATAAGCAGGCACAGTAACAACAGCATTCTTCACAGGTTTTTCCAAAAAAGCCTCAGCAATCTCCCGCATCTTAACAAGGACCATGGATGATACTTCCTCAGCACAAAGTTGCTTCTCCTGACCCTTGTATTTAACCACGATCATTGGTTTGTCATTGGTACCAGCAACGACCTTAAATGGCCACAACATTTTATCTTTTTGAACATTTTGCTCGCTATATTTCCTACCAATCAACCTCTTGGCATCTGCAAAAGTTAATAAAAACCCAATCATCCATTTCTTTACTCAACAATGCAGCTTGCACAGCTGCGCCATAAGCAACAGCCTCATCAGGGTTAATACTCTTGCACAAATCTTTACCATTGAAGAAAGCCTGCAATAACTGCTGCACTTTGGGAATTCTAGAAGAGCCACCAACAAGGACAACATCATGCACACTGCTTTTGTCCATCTTAGCATCAGTAAGACACTTCTCTACTGTCTCAATGCACTCTTCAAACAGCTCCATATTAATTTCCTCAAACCTTGCACGATTGATTGAAGAGTTGAAGTCTATGCCTTGAAATATAGCATCAACATCAACTTTGGTGGTAACAACACAAGAGAGTGTCCTTTTTGCCCTCTCACATGCAGTTCTCAACCTCCTTAGAGCCCTAGGATTGCCACTAATGTCCACTTTGTTTTTCCTTTTGATCTCTTCTACAAAATAGTTCACCATTCTGTTGTCGATGTCCTCTCCTCCAAGATGAGTGTTTCCAGCAGTGGCCTTAACCTGGAAGACCTTATCCTTGATTGTGAGGAGTGACACATCAAAAGTACCACCACCTAAGTCAAAGATGAAAATGTTTCGCTCTCCAACACAATTAGTTCTCTTGTCAAGGCCATATGCAATAGCAGCAGCAGTGGGTTCACTGATTATCCGTATAACATTGAGGCCAGCAATGGCACCAGCATCCATGGTGGCTTTACGCTGAGAGTCATTGAAATAAGCAGGCACAGTAACAACAGCATTCTTCACAGGTTTTTCCAAAAAAGCCTCAGCAATCTCCCGCATCTTAACAAGGACCATGGATGATACTTCCTCAGCACAAAGTTGCTTCTCCTGACCCTTGTATTTAACCACGATCATTGGTTTGTCATTGGTACCAGCAACGACCTTAAATGGCCACAACATTTTATCTTTTTGAACATTTTGCTCGCTATATTTCCTACCAATCAACCTCTTGGCATCTGCAAAAGTTAATAAAAACCCAATCATCCATTTTTTCTAAAAAAGAGTACAGAAAAATCATAAAAAAAGAAGTCACTGAGGACAGAAAATATACCGAAGATGGTGTTCTCTGGATTAGTGGCAGCTTGATTTTTAGCAGCATCACCGATCAACCTTTCATGGTCAGTGAAAGCAACACAAGAAGGAGTAGTGTTGTTGCCTTGGTCATTGTGAATGATCTCCACTCGACAGTGCTACTCCTGCCATA